GAAGAAGACGATGAACTAGAGCCACGCAAGGGAAGTGGGGTGTGAATATTTTAATAAAGGAATGAATGAACTTGGCTCCGTGGGGCTGTAGGATCCGGGCAGGATCCACCCCAGAGTCTGTCTGGCTTTCCTCCTGAAACCCCTCTTTCACTCCCACGCAGGGCCGGCTCACGAACTAGGCGAACTAGGCGACCGCCTAGAGTGGGACGTCCCTTAGGGGCACCAAACTGCACCCGGCCCCGTACTCTGGGAGTTTCTTGATTATTTGTGTTTTTCATTCTTCCTAAAATGCATTTATTTTTGAAAATTGGTGGGTGCACGGGGGGGGGGGGGCAGAATGGATCCTTGCCTAGGGTGCAAAATAAGCTGGAGCCGGCCCTGCTCCCACGTGACTTGCCATTCCAGCTTTGACAACAGGAGGCGACACGGGGAAACTTGGACAGTGGGCCTTTGGGTTGGCGCGAGGGCCCGGTGGGAAGGATCGTGGGGGAGATGGGATGCCGGTGGTTGAACAAAGGGAACCGGAACGGGGTGGGCGAGAGAGAGAGTGTCTTTGGGAGCGTCTTTCCCCTGGTTCTCAGTCCCCCTCTTCTGTTGATTTCAGTGACCTCTTGCACCCCAGCGCCTGGGTGCAGTGCTTGGCTCTGAGCACCCTCGGCTCTCTGGGCTCGGCGGCCATGTTTCGAGACCTGGCTGGGGAAGTGGAGCAACTGGCCCGGGTGGGGCAGCCCTCTGTGCGAAGGAAGGTGAGAGGCTGCAGATACTCTCCGGCAGGGGCCATTCCGTAGAAAAAGAGGTGCATGAGCTCATTAGCATAACTAATTAGCATGTGCCACGCCCCCTGACATCACCGGAAGCGTGTCAGAAGGCAGCACCCACCACTCAGGCTCCACTGGGCTGTGTTGGATGGCTAGGTATTGGGGGGAGGGGAGGGGAACGTGCAGATCTGCCCTCACAGAGGAGGGAGAGCTTGTACCTGAATAAAACTTGGTCTTAAAGGTGCCACTGGACTGTTTTGGATTGCTAGCTGTGGGGGGGGGGAACGCACAGATCTGCCCTCACAGAGGAGGGAGAGCTTGTCCCTGAAGGCAGGATGGGGGGGGGGCTCTGCAACTTACCTGGCTGCTTCTTGCACCTCGTGGCCCGACTGAGGGCTTCTGGGAGCAGGGGGCGGGGCTTGTTGCATGTGCCCGCCCCCTTGGCTCCTTACTGCTGGAGCTCTGCACCTGTGCACTCCTGCAGGAAATGACCCCTGCTCTCTGGAACCGTCAACGGTGCCCCCTCTTCCTCTCCCGTCCAAAGCCTTTCCTTTCATTCAAAAGGGGGAAGCCTGCCCTCTGACCTCCAAGGTATAGGCAGCGACCGGAGTTTATTTTTTTTCACACTAACTCAGCTTAGGGGGAACACTGGACCCCATCCTTGCAGTCTTCACCAATGCTCGCTCTAAGCTGTGGAGTCTTGTGAGCAAAAATTCTACCTTGTGAGCTACTGGCATTAAAGTTATGAGCGAGCGACTTGGCTGCTGCATAAATTAGTTCGCTCTGGAGCCCTCCTCCCTCAGCAAATACATAAATGTGTGAGCCGGAGGCTAAAAAACGGTGAGCTGGCTCACACTAACTCAGCTTAGAGGGAACGCTGGTCTTCACTCATATTAGCTTTCCCCCGGCCACTGTAACTGCCCAATCTGCCCCAGCCCCAGATTTTTTTCCCACTGTAAAGCCTCCTTCTCGTTCTGCCAACCTTTGTAGGCGGTGGTGTGTGCTGTGCACATTACCCGGAAGGTGCCGGATCTCACAGACACCTTCGTTGCACTCGGGGAGCAGCTGTTGACTGACCGAAGTCATGGTAAGCACCGTCATCCCTTTGCTTTGCTACCATCTGCAAAATCCCCTGAAGAAGGAGAAGAAGAAGAGATTGGATTTATACCCCGCCCTTCACTCGGAGTCTCAGAGCGGCTTACAAACTCCTGTCCCTTCCCCTCCCCACAACAGACACCCTGTGAGGTGGGTGGGACTGAGAGAGCTCTTTCGAGAACTCCTCCTGAGAGAACAGCTCTGACAGAAGTTGTGACTGACCCAAGGTCACAGGGAACCATTTACACAGGGGTATATATCACTTAATGGTGACTCACGCCTGAATGTACAAACCCCTCTTGTAAAAAGCTCTTCATTTAAGATGAAAAAACCATTCTGCTGGAGGACACTTTCACACATGCAGCTTGTCAAGTGGTGAGCCTGCATGTGTGAACGTCAAAAATCTGCTTGGCATGACCGCCAGCGTCAAAGGGGCAAGATGGAGAAAGAGGCCCAAGACAGGGACCGATTAAATGAGATGTTCAAAAAAGGCCAGGTAGCAACGGAGGCACCAGTGGGGAGTGCCGAGTGAGGCTTCATGGGGCGTGTGCGTACCAAAGAGGGTCCCGAGCAAGGAGTGTGCAGTGAGGGGTCTGAAATGTCAGAAGATCCAGGATCCGGGAAGTGATGGATTCCTCTCTCATCTCTTGTCAGGCATTCTGCACGGAGGCATCATGTTGATCGCAGAGATGTGTGGACACAACCCGCAGGCCTTGGAACACTTCCGCAAGGTGGGCGGGTGTGAAATTCGCCTCCTCCCAGCTTCCCCTACTGTCATTCACTTGGCACGATTAGAACACGATTAGATTAGCTCCGCTCCTGTGCACTCCTGCAGGAAATGACCCCTGGCTTTGGGGATACCCATGGAGGGTCTGTCTGTAGGGACTTACCAGCTCCACCCCCTGTCTCCACGTTTCCTACAGCGTGTGCCCCAGTTGGTAGGAATCCTGCATAACCTCGTGAAGGCTGGTTACTCTCCGGACCACAGCATCTCCGGCATCAGCGATCCCTTCCTGCAGGTAACAGGCCATCTCTCCCTCCTCGCAAACACCGGTCTCCTCACTGCTTCCGTCTGCCATTCAGGAGAAGCGAATGTTGGTTCTCAGTGAGCTCCCCAGAGCGGGATTCTCACCTTTGCGCATGTGAACATGCAGCATCGTAAGCGGACAAGGTGGAAAGAAGAAGATGGGGAGGGACCAGTGTTCCCTCTAAGCTGAGTTAGTGTGAGCTAGCTCACAGTTTTTTTAGCCTCCAGCTCACACATTCTTGTCTTAGCTCAGGAAGGAGGGCTCCAGAGGAAACCAAATTATGCAGGAGCTAAATCGCTCACTCACAACTTTAATGCCAGTAGCTCATAAAGTAGAATTTTTGCTCACAAGGCTCCACAGCTTAGAGGGAGCATTGGGAGGGACCACAGCTCAGTTGGGAAGCAGAAAACTCCAAGTGCAAGGTCCCCGTTGAAGGTTAAACATGACAAGACACTGTGGGTTCCTCCCCACACGGTATAATCTAGGGTTGCCAAGTTCTTTTTCATCCGCGGCGGGGGACTCCCGGACGGCGTCTTGATAGGGTTGCCAAATCAAAATTGGCCGGGAGTGGGGGGCTCCCGGCTGGCGTCATCCTAGTGCGTGTGTGCATAGCGCGCGCCGCTTCCGCATCACCCGGAAGTGACGTCACACGCTGGGGGCGGGGTCACGCCATTTGAGGGGAAAACAAAGAGTTTTCCCCTCAAATGGCGTGGCCCCGCCCCCAGCGGCCGACGTCACTTCCGGGTGACGCGGACGCGTGGGTGGGGTTTCCCCCGGGCCCCGATTCCGCGGGAGCGGGAATCGGGGCTCGAAACCGGGGGGAATTCCGCCCCCCGGGGGCTTTTGGCAGCCCTACGTCTTGAGCACATGTTTTCCCCTCAGATGGCTGTGGCCCCGCCCCCAGCATGCCCGGCGTCATCACGTCACCTCCCGCTGATGTGCAAGCCGGGGTGGGGTTTCCCCGGGGCCCGATTCCGCAGCGGCGGAAATTGGGCCTCCAAAGCGGAGGGGAAATCTGACCCCGGGGGGACTTGGCAGCCCTAGTATAATCCCATCATTTATTATCACCCCTTTCAGGTCCAGATCCTGAGGCTGCTAAGGATTCTGGGACGTGACAATGAAGAGATTAGCGACACCATGAATGATGTCTTGGCCCAGGTAAAACCAAGAGGGCAGTTGGGATTTGGAGCAGGGGACCAAGGCCAGAGAGAAACACTTTGGCCTAGAGCAGGGGTCCTCGGCCCTTTTGAGCCTGTGGGCACATTTGGAACTCTGACACAGTGACAGGCGCTGCCACAAAATGGCTGCCACAAGAGGTGGAGCCAGCCACAAAATGGCCGCCCTAGCTTACCTTCAGTCACACAGTGAGGATTCTCGGGCTGTGGTGGCAGCTGCTGCCAAAGCAACCTTTTTAAGAAACTCCCCAGCCAATCAAATCTCCAGTGACCAGTCAGAAGCCCTGCTGGGCGAAATCCCCACCTGAACCTGCCCTCTTTCTAAAAACACTTGCTGGACACGAGGAAAAGCTTCAGAGGGTGCCGTGTTGGGAACCCCTGGCCTAGAGGGCCTTTGAGAGAAACTCTTTCTCTGAGGAGAAGATGGGCTTATCCCATAGGGTTGCCAGCCTCCAGGTGGGGCCTGGGGATCTCCCGCTTTTACAACTGATCCCCAGCTGACACCAGGGGTCATTTTGTAGAAAAAGAGGTGCAGGAGCTCATTAGGGCTCTTTTTGTAGCAGGTACTCATTTGCATATTAAGCGACACCCCCCTAATGTATCCAATCCTCCAAGAGCTTACAGTACCCCCTGTAAGAAGAGCTCTGTAAGCTCTTGGAGGATTGGCTACATTACGGGTGTGTGGCCTAATATGCAAAGGAGTACCTGCTACGGGCTCTTTTTGTAGCAGGTACTCATTTGCATATTAAGTGACACACCCCTAATGTAGCCAATCCTCCAAGAGCTTACAGTAGTTCCTGTAAGAAGAGCTCTGTAAGCTCTTGGAGGATTGACTACATTAGGGGGTGTGGCTTAATATGCAAAGGAGTTCCTGCTACAAAAAGAGCCCTGCAAACTTATTTGCATATGCAACACCCCCTGACATCACCGGAAGTGTGTCAGACGGCAACACCCACCACTCAGGCTCCACTGGACTATTTTGGATTGCTAGGTATTGGGGGGAGGTGGGGATCGTGCAGATCTGTCCTCGCAGAGGAGGGAGAGCTTGTGCCTGAATAAAACCTGGTCTTAAAGGTGCCACTGGACTGTTTTGGACCGGGGGGCTGGGGGGAGCTCTGAAACTTACCTGGCTGCTTCTTGCTCTGACTGAGGGCTGCTGGGAGCAGGGGGTGGGGCTTGTTGCATGTGCCCGCCCCCTCGGCTCTTTACTGCCGAAGTTCCTCTCCTGTGCGCTCCTGCAGGAAATGACCCCTGGCTGAGACAGAGATCTAGGCTTGCCAAGCCCCCACCGGGGACGGGAGAAGCCCCGCCAAAACGGCCCCCAATCGACCAGCGGGGATTGGGCTGCCGGGGGGAACCTCACCCCCGAAACGGCTGGATCAGGCCCATGCCCCCAGCGTGATGCCGCCACCCGGAAGTGACGTGATCACGCCGGGGGCGTCACCAGGCGACGCTCTAGCAGTCGCCCCAAAAACTCTATGGTACACTGCTAGAGTGTTGCCCGGTGATGCTCCCAGCGTGATGACGTCACTTCTGGGTGGTGTCACAGCGGGGCGCACGCAAATGTCTGGGGGGGGGACAAAGAGTCCCCCGCCGCTAACAGTAAGAGACTTGGCAACCCTGCAGAGATCAGCTTCTGAAATGTACTGAGTTCGGAGGCGTTGAGTAGTGATCAGCTCATGTTTATTAAAGCAAGCAAAACGAAAGACAAACTAACACCCAACACACACCCCAACACCAGTGATACTATTCACAGTGGAATAGTACATCATAGGTCTACTCTAGAATCCGGGCACTCGGATTGGTCTGCCCGAGGATCCAATTCCTCTATTGTTCAAGCACCCGAAGGTGAGCTTGACTGCATGGCCTTGCTAGCGCTGATGCAATTATCCAAGTGTACATCAGCTCCCCTGGAGAAAATGGCTGTTTTGGAGGGTGGACTCTGTGGCCTTGGACCATGCTGAGGCCCCTCCCCTCCCCAAACCCCACCCTCTCCCGGATCCACCCCCAAAGTCTCCAGGTTTTTTCCAACCCAGGCCTGGCAACCCTATTATCCCCTTTGGATTACAATGTGGAGGGGGTGCTGGGGGGGGGCTAGATAAAATGTCTGTGAAAGTCTGATGTGGGCCATGGTCACCAGGTGGCTATTCCTGGTCTAGATTAAATCTTTTGCAAAGTCTTTGTGCAGGGACCTCTACCATTTTTGCCACGTTGTTGGCAATCTGGATCGTCCGTTGGCTCGATATTCGGAGGCAGTCAACCTCTGATAGGGTTGCCAGGTCTGGGTTGGAAAATACCTGGAGACTTTTGGGGGTGGATCCAGGAGAGGGTGGGGTTTGGGAGGAGCCTCAGCACGGTACAAGGCCATAGAGCCCACCCTTCAAAGCAGCCATTTTCTCCAGGGGAGCTGATCTCTGTTAGCTGGAGGTCAGTTGTGAAAGTGGGAGGTCTCCAGGCCCCACCTGGAGGCTGGCAACCCTAACCTCTGGATTCCATTGCCAAGAGGTAACATCAGGAAAAGGCCTGGGTCTCCACGCCCGGTTTGTTTGATCCCCCAGGCCCAGGGCAACTGGTTGGCCACTGTGTGAAACAGGATGCTGGACTAGACAGACTACTGGTCTGGTGTCGTGGTTACGAGTGTGGATTCTAATCTGGTTTGATTCCCCGCTCCTCCACATGCAGCTGTGACCTTGGGTCAGTTACGAGTTTTTTCAGAGCTGTTCTCTCAAGAGCAGTCCTCAAAAGAGCTCTCTCAGCCCCGCCTACCTCACAGGGTGTCTGTTGTGGGGAGGGGGAAGGGAAAGGAGATTGTAAGCCACGCTGAGGCGCCTTCGGGTAATGGAGGGCAGGGTATAAATCCAATCTCTTCTCTCTTCTCTCCTGATGATCTTAATGAAGCGGAAGAGGGAGATTTGAAGGCGAAGATTTGGAGGAGGGGGGAGGGGACATTGTGATGTCAAGCCACGGACACCCCATCTTCTCTGATTTTCCTCAGGTGGCCACCAACACGGATACGGCAAGGAACGTGGGCAATGCCATCTTGTACGAGACGGTTCTGACAATCATGGGCGTGCTCTCCGCCAGCGGACTCCGGGTATAGCGAAATGGCATGGGGCGAACAGGCCGACTCTTTGTCTGAGATCCACCTGCCTTTTGGTGGCTCCTTTGCTGCCAGCCCCCTTGAAGGCCCCACAGATAGTTACTGCCTGGTGTAGTTGTGGTGGGGGTGCCCACTTCTAGACCCGGAATGAACCAGAGTTTACTCAGGTTGGCGAAAGGGCCCCCTAGTTTCCATCTGCTGCAGGAGCCATCTTTGGTTACTTGCTCCTGAATGTGTTGAACTAGAATCAAGAGTCGGGTAGTTCCAGAGACTACCACCACCCTGACCTAGATAGCCCAGGCTAGCCCAATCCCATCAGATCTCAAAAACTAAGCAGGGTCAGCCTTGGGTAGTATTTGGAAGGGTGACCTCCAAGGAATACCAGGGCTGAGAGGCACAGGCAAGCAGTGGCAAACTACCTCTGAAAATCCCTTGCCTTAAAAAAACAAGCCTAGCTTGCCACCTAGTGGTGCACGACGCTAAAAGAGCTTGAACTTCTGCCTGCCAGACAATCTTAGTATCTCCTGGCTATTCTGCACACAATGCCATACGATAATTATTATTAGAGACTAACACCAGTTGGCTTTCAGGGTCAGTCTGTTGCTGCCTGTTCTCACTCTTTCACTCCTAAACATGGTCATGGTTTTAGGGCCTTTCTCTTTTCCACGTACAGGTTCTTGCGATCAATATCCTTGGGCGATTTCTTGATAACAAGGATCGGAATATCAGGTAAAATAAAAGGAGCGGCGGGGTGTGTGTGTGAAACTTGGGCTTCTGGTCCTGGTAGCCTGAAATTTGTGATTAGCTCAAAGGAATTTGGAAAAAAACCTTGGTCCCTCAGTCTCTGGCTTCGTAAAGGTTCGAAGCCATTCCCAGGAATTGGAAGTGTTTTCCAGTTTGAGACTCAGGATGGGTTGACATGCGCCAGGAAAGGGGGAGAGTTTCTAATAAGAAAATGGCACTGGGGTGTTAATGTCCCGACCCCAATCCTTCTGGGAGGGGATGCCTCAGCTTCTTTTGGGGTAAATTACACACCAGAGGATGTGATCATAGAAAAAAAAAACAATGTCGTGTGAAATCTGATCAGATATCTTTGTTTCTGGGGGCAGAACATCTCTCCCCTTCCCAACCTGTTCTGGATCCTGCTGATCACCAGAGCGAGCATGAGGGAGCGCCAGTGTCTTGGGACCCACATGTTACCTCACGCTAGGACTGCCAGGTTGGGAAGTATCTGGAGATTTTGGGAATGGAGCCTGAGGAGGCAAGGGTTGGGGGAGAGGAAGGACTTCAATGGGGCATAATGCCATAGGGTCCACCTTCCAAAATGGCCATCTTTCTCCAGGTAAACTGGTTTCAGGAGCTGCGGTGGCTCAAGTGGTTAAGACACTGAACTGCAGGCTGTGGAAGGTCAGTAGTTCAGCAGTTCGAGACCCGAGTGTGCCGCATGACGGAGTGAGCTCCCATCTCTAGTTCCAGCTCCTGCCAACCTAGCAGTTCGAAAGCAAGAAATTGCAAGTAGATAAATAGGTACCACTTCGGTGGGAAGGGAACAGCGTTCCGTGCACCTTGGTGTTTAGTCATGCCGGCCACATGACCACGGAAACGTCTTCGGACAGCGCTGGCTCTTCGGCTTGGAAACGGAGATGAGCACCACAACCCTAGAGTCGGACTCGACTGGCTTTCGAGCAAGGGAGACCTTTACCTTTACTTTTTAAACTGATTTCTGTCACCTGGAGATCAGTAGTAAAAGTGGGGTATCTCCAGCCACCATCTTGGAGGTTGGCAACTCTGCCTCACGCATGTGAGGCACATGTCCACAGATGCTTAGGAAGGCCTAAACCTTTTTCGGATGAGGGGCTGGGGAGACTCTGGAATGGATATGCTTCCTGACGTAAAGCCAATGTGATAGTTTGGTGTAGTGGTTAGGAACGCGGACTCTAATCTGGGAGAACCGGGTTTGATTCCCCACTCCTCCACATGCAGCTGCTGGTGTGATCTTGGGTTGGTCACAAGTTCATTCAGAGCTCTTCTCTCAGGAGCAGTCCTCGAAAGAGTTCTCTCAGCCCCACCTACCTCTCGGGGTGTCTGTAGTGGGGAGGGGAAAGGAAAGGTGATTGTAAGCCGCTCTGAGACTCCTTTGGCTAGTGAAGGGTGGGGTGCATTGTTCCCTCTAAGCTGAGTTAGTGTGAGCTAGCTCACATTTTTTTAGCCTCCGGCTCACAGTTTTTTGTCTTAGCTCAGGAAGGAGGGCTCCAGAGCACACTAATTTATGCAGTAGCCACATCACTCGCTCACAACTTTAATGCCAGTCGCTCACAGAGTAGAATTCTTGCTCACAAGACTGCATACCTTAGAGGGAACATTGGTGGAGTGTTAATCCAATCTCCTCCTCCTTCTCCTCCTTCGCCTTCTGTGGTTAAGAGTGTCCATGGCAGAGTGGAGATTCAAACCTGGGAGCTTGCTGGGTGATTTTGGGCCAGTCACACACTCTCAGCCTAACCTACCTCACAGGGCTTTTGTGAGGAGAAAATGGAGGCGAGGAAAGTGATGTAAACTCCCACGGGGGAGAAAGTTGGGGATAAATGAAGTCAATAAATCCCCTCAGAAGAGAGTGACAGGTGACTGTCATGCGAGGAATAGTAAAACATACACAGTCTTCTACTCTTTTCTGAGGCGTCTTTTCCTTCCAAGCGAAACTGTGTGATTTCCCCAGCCTTTATTAGAATTTGGCTGAAGCCCCGTGGTCCTGAGGGTGAGGTCCCTGCCTGAGAACAACTCGGTCTCCTCCTCTCCTTCTCTCCTTCCTGAAAGAACCAGCAAAGAGGAAACAGAGTGCAGGGGGGTTGGACTAGATGACCTGCAAGGTCCCTTCCATCTCTAACAGTTTGGTGTAGTGGTTAAGTGCGCGGACTCTAATCTGGGAGAACCGGGTTTGATTCCCCACTCCTCCACTTGCACCTGGCTGGATGACGTTGGGCAAGCCATGGTTCTGATAAGAGCTCTCCTTGAAAAAGAGCAGTTTCTGTCAAGAGCTCTCTCAGCCCCGCCCACCTCACAGGGTGTCTGTTGTGGGGAGGGGAAGGGAAAGGAGTTTGTAAGCCGCTCTGAGACACCTTTGGTTAGTGAAGGGCGGGGTATAAATCCAATCTCCTCCTCCTCCTCTTCTTCCTCTTCTTCTTCTTCTAACATTCTATGATTCTGTGATTCTTCAGGGAGGGAAGCAAAGCCTCTGACTAGTCCTTACAGACTTCTGAGAGAGAATCCACATCCCATAGTGGCTAGAAAGTCCAACTTTGACTGGGAGAGACCCCGGTTCAAATCCAGCCTCATTTGGCCCAGTCCCCATCTCCCACCCTACCTACTTCACAGGGATAAAATGAGTGTTAGAGAGAACATATGCCACACTGAGATGTTTGAAAGAAGGCTGAGATAAAACTGTGGTAGATGCTGTGGGCCATCTCGTTTTGAAAGCCCGGTTCTGGACCTTCGCTCGTTTTCCTCAAAATATTGTATATTTGGGGGCACCACCCTTAGGTACGTGGCTCTAGCATCACTGCAGAAATTGTTGCAAGCGGAGAGCTCCGCTGTCCAGAGGCACCGGTCTACTGTCTTGGCCTGTCTGACTGACCCTGACCCAACTGTGAAGAGGTGAGATGGGGAAAGTGGGGAAGGAGACCTCGAGTGAATTTCTGAGGAGAATAACGCACCCGTCCTTTCTCCTCAGGCGAGCGCTGCAACTTAGCCTCGCCCTGGTGAACAGCAGCAACGTGAGGGCGACCGTCAAGGAACTCGTGGATTTCCTCCACACCTGCGCTCCGGACCTGAAGTCAGACTGCGCTTCTGGAATATTCCTGGCTGCTGAGAAGTGAGTGGCCCTTGGCCGCAGGTGCTTGTAGAGGGGCCTGGGTGTGCACAGCAGCTGCTTGTGAGAAGCCGAACATGTCTGAGCCAGCCTGTGTTTTTCTCTCTCCTTCAGGTTCGCACCCAGCAAGCGATGGCACATAGACACCGTCCTCCAAGTGCTGACCATGGTAAGAGGGAGGAGGATTGTAGAAGAGGTGCTCGAATTCGCACGGAAGCGTCGGAGTGCCGTCACGCTCACGGATGAAAACCTTTCTCTCTTTCTGATCCCTCAACAGACGCACCTCAGGCAATTTTGAGCAACATTTCTTCAAGAGCTTATGGACTAGAAACTTAACTCTAGGGAAACATAACTGACGGCCGGGTTTCTTAAGAAACCAAATTCTCTTCACAGTGTATAGCCTGTCCAGCTTTTACAGTCTCTCTGCTTTCTTCCCCGTAATGTGACGTATCTTCCCTCGCCATCTGTGTTTCCTTTAGAACGGCCAGCGAGGTGTGTCGAAAAAGTGAATTTTGAGGCCCTGCTTAAAATGCATCCCTCCCACACACTCCTCAGCAGGGCTTTTTTTGTAGAAAAAGCCCAGCAGGAACTCATTAGCATAATAGGCCACACCCAACAGCAGAGAACCATTAGCATATTAGGCCACACCCCTGACAGCACAGCTCATTAGCATATTAGGCCACACCCCACATGTTGCCAGAAGTGTGGTCATCCAACCACACCCACCTTTTGCTTCTTATTCTGTTTACTTTGTTGTCAAAACCCAGGGCTTTTTTTGTAGCAGGAACTCCTTTGCATGTTAGGCCACACACCCCTAACGTAGCCAATCCTAATGAGTGTCTGCTGTTAGGTGTGGCCTATTATGCTAATGAGTTCCTGCTGGGTGTGGCCAACTCAGGAGCCAGCCGGAACTCCGTCCCTGTGCGTTCCTGCCCAAAAATAGCCCTGCGCCTCAGTAGCTTTTTGCCATGTCCCCATTAAGGAAACGTTGGGCGACTGGAGGTGGGGGAAGAGCCTTTTTAACAGTTTCAGGAGAAAGAAAAGGAGGGATCACAGAAATATGTCCCCCGGAGAGCCTTGTGCTTGATTGATCAACATTTACTGGTGGTCCCCAGCCCAAGGGACATCCATCTAGTGGGGTTGCCAGCCTCCAGGTGGGGCCTGGAGATATCCCGCTTTTACGACTGATCCCCAGCTGACAGAAATCAGCTCCCCTGGAGAAAATGGCTGCTTTGAAGGGGTGGACTCTATGGCATTGGACCATGTTGAGGCCCCTCCCCTCCCCAAACCCTGCCCTCTCCAGGATCCACCCCCAAAGTCTCCAGGTATTTATAACTATCATTCTATAAAGTGCATTGTGTGCTATTAGAACATCCTTGTCAGGGACATATATTCAGTACGTTCCATATAACAATAACATTCAGTTCATACAGTTTCACAGCTACCAATCAATTTTGCATCAGTATTTTAAAAGTCAAGCCCCAATAAAAAGGGAAAGGCTCCCTTGCTCGAAAGCCAGTCGAATCCGACTCTAGGGTTGCGGTGCTCATCTCCATTTCAAAGCCAAAGAGCCAGCGCTGTCCGAAGACGTTTCCGTGGTCATGTGGCCGCCATGACTAAAAACACCAAGGCGCACGGAATGCTGTTCCCTTCCCACCGAAGTGGTACCTATTTATCTACTTGCAATTTCTTGCTTTCGAACTGCTAGGTTGTCAGGAGCTGGAGCTAGAGACGGGAGCTCACTCCGTCACACGGCACACTAGGGTCTCGAACTGCTGAACTGTGAACTGAATGTTATTGTTATACGGAATGTACTGAATATATGTACCTGACAAGGATGTTCTAATAGCACACAATGCACTTTATAGAATGATAGTTATAAACAGAACACGTTAATTTACAAAAGTTTCTTGCAGTGTAAATTTATTCGTTACTTGACTCTCCTAACACTGCAGCTCGGGTTGCTACAGGCCTTTGGTTGAGGCAGCGGGCGTCCAAGGAAGCCGGCCTCCCTTACTGAAGCCTGTCGTCATTATTCGGCCCAGATTAAGAAAATCTCTGGACCCAATCACTCCAGCTGAAATTGTGTTTGTGGTTACACACTGTTAGTTGTTTTTAAATTGTATTATTTAATTGTTTTAAATATTGCTATATATTGATTAATATATGTCTTTATCCACTTTATCCAGTTTGGTGTCGTGGTTAAGTGTGCGGACTCTAATCTGGGAGAACCGGGTTTGATTCCCCACTCCTCCACTTGCACCTGCTGATGTGACCTTGGGTCAGTCACAAGCTCTGGCACAGCTGTCCTTGAAAAAGAGCAGTTTGTGTCAGAGTTCTCTCAGCCCCACCCACCTCACAGGGTGTCTGTTGTATCCGCTCTGAGCCCATTCGCAGGGAGAGTGGAATGCAAATCTAAATAAATAAATAAAAGATCACTGAAATGGCAGCAAACTGAGTTTCCTCTGTCCCTCTCCTTTCCCGTTGCAGGCTGGCGCTTACGTGCGGGACGACTCAGTCCCCAACCTCACCCACCTCATTGGAGGCACGAAGGAGCTTCATAGTTACGCCGTGCAGCAGCTATACGAAGCGCTGGCTCAGGATATCTCACAGGTAAATTATATTATAGATTATATTGGAAGGATAGGGAGGGAAGATGGAAGTGGAGTGGAGTGGCTCTGTATGTCAGAGAGGGTATACCGTCCAGTAAGACTGAGAATGTAAGAGAAACAGATTCACTTACAGAAACGCTGTGGGTGGAAATAGTGTGCCGAAAAGGAAGCTTAACTCTGGGAGTTTGTCATCGCCCACCATATCAAAGGTTAGAGGATGATTTAAAAACAGCCAAAGAATTAAGGAAAGCAGGTAGATGAAATAATTGTGTCATAATGTTGTTGTTGTTCAGTCGCACAGTCGAGTCCGACTCTTTGCGACCCCATGGACCAGATCACGCCAGGCCCTCCTGTCTTCCGCTGTCCTCTGAAGCTTGCTCAATTTCATGTTCGTTGCATCGATGACACTGTCTAACCATCTCATCCTTTGCCGTCCCCGTCTTCTTTGACCTTCAATCTTTCCCAGCATCAGGGTCTTCTCCAGTGAGTGCTCCCTTCTCATTTGGTGGCCAAAGTATTTGAGCTTCAACTTCAGGATCTGGCCTTCCAGGGAACAGTCAGGGTTGATTTCTTTTAGGATTGACTGATTTGATCTCCTTGCAGTCTATTTTTCGGCGCTCGGCCTTCCTTATAGTCCAACTTTCGCAGCCATACGTTACTACTGGGAATACCTTTGCTTTGACCATGCGGACGTTTGTTGGCAGGGTGATGTCTCTGCTTTTTATCATGCTGTTTAGGTGTCATAATAGGTGATTTCAACTACCCACACATTGATTGGGTCAATACGTGTTCGTCAGGAGAAAGAGATTGGGTTTCTAGATACTCCCAATAACTGTGCCATGGAGCAGATGGTCACTGAACCTACCGGGGGGAGGTGATCCTGGACTTGGTCCTCAATGTAACCCCCTGAGTCTTTGGGGCCAGGTTAAAATTCTAGAGTAATGTTCGCAAATTCAAAATGTAAATCCAATTTTTTTAGATATCACAGAATGCAACTTTGAGAAATGTTCCCAAAGCTATCAGTACTGCTTCATTAACTAGTGTCTTTAGAGCAGATTCCTACTCACAATCCACTTGGTAGAAGGTGCAGACGTTACTGTGTGTTCGTCTAGAGGCTATGTCTGGAACAGAGTCCCAGGTATCCAGAAGGCCTTCATGCACTGAGAGATGTAAATGTGATAGCACCAGTTGGGAACAGTGACCATAATGCTATTACGTTTAACATCTGTGTAAACAGGGAGTTGCCCAAAAAGACCAACACAACCAGTGTTCCCTCTAAACTGAGTTAGTGTGAGCTAGCTCACAGTTTTCTAGCCTCCAGCTCACACGGCTGCAGAGCAAGCTAATTGATGCAGCAGCCCAATCACTCGCTCGCAGCTTTAATGCCAGTAGCTCACAAAGCAGAATTTTTGCTCACCAGACTCCACAGCTTAGAGGGAACATTGAACACAACCACATTTAACTTTAGAATGGGTAACTTATCTCAAATGAGGGGGCTTGTGGAGAAGAAACGGAAAGGAAAGGTTAGGAGGGTCGGATCCCTTCCGGAAGCTTGGAGACTATTTAAAACTACAATCCTAGAAGCTCAGATAAAATGTATACCACAGGCTAGGGAAGGCACAAACAGATATATAAAAAAGGCCTGCATGGTTAATGCAAGTGCAAAGTAATGCACATTGGAGCCAAAAATCCCAACTTATAAATACACATTGATGGGGTCCGAACTGGTGGTCAGTGACCAGGAGAGTGATCTTGGAGTCGTGGTCGACAACTCACTGAAAATGTCGACTCAGTATGTGACTGCAATAAACAAGGCAAATGTTATGCTGGGGATTATTAGGAAGGGAACGGAAAATAAATCAGCCAGTATCATAATAAAAAGGTAAAGGTTCCCCTTGCTCGAAAGCCAGTCGAATCCGACTCTAGGGTTGCGGTGCTCATCTCCGTTTCAAAGCCGAAGAGTCAGCGCTGTCCGAAGACATTTCCGTGGTCATGTGGCCAGCATGACTAAACACCAAGGTGCACGGAATGCTGTTACCTTCCCACCGAAGTGGTACCTATTTATCTACTTGCAATTTCTTGCTTTCGAACGGCTAGGTTGGCAGGAGCTGGAACTAGAGATGGGAGCTCACTCCATCATGTGGCACACTCGGGTCTCGAACTGCTGAACTACTGACATTCCACAGCCTGCACCATCATAATGCCCCTGTATAAATCGATGGCGCAGCCTCATTTGGAATAATGTGTACAGTTCCGGTCACCACACCTCAAAAAAGATATTATAGCATTGGAAAACATGCAGAAAAGGGCAACTAAACTGGTTAATGGGATGGGACACCTTCTCTATGAAGAAAGGTGAAAGAGGTTAGGGCTCCAGCTTGGAGAAACTATGACTGAGGGGTGACGTGATCGAGGTTTATAAGATTGTGCATGGGATAGAGCGGGTAGAGAAAGGTATTTTTCTCCCTTTCTCACAATACAAGAACTCGTGGGCCCTCCATGAAATTGATGAGCAGTCGGTTTAGAACAGATAAAGGGAAGTACTTCTTCACCCAAAGTGTAATTAACACGTAGAAATCACTGCCACAGTAAGTGGTGGCAGCTACAAGCATAGACAACTTCAAGAGGGGATTGGATAAACATACAGAGCAGAGGTCCATCAGTGGCTATTAGCCACAAGGTATAGATAGGAACACTCTGTCTGGGGCTGTGATGCTCTGTATCCTTGGTGCTTGGGGGGCCACAGTGGGAGGGCTTCTGGAGTTCTGGCCCAACGGGTGGACCTCCTGATGACACCTGGGTTTTGGCCACTGTGTGACACAGAGCATTGGACTGGATGGGCCATTGGCCTGATCTAACATGGCTTCTCTTATGTTCTTAGTGGCTATTAGTCAAAAGGTATAGAGGGAACATTGTCTGGGTCAGTGATGCTCTGTGTTCTTGGTGCTTGGGGGGCAACAGTGGGAGGGCTTCTGGAGTTCTGGCCCCGCTGCTGGACCTCCTGATGGCACCTGGTCTTTTTGGCCACTGTGTGACACAAAGCGCTGGACTGGATGGGCCTTTGGCCTGATCCAACATGGCTTCTCTTATGTTCTTACAGTTGCCAGGGAGGGTAGTTTTGAGGCTGGGAGGGGGGCGTAACTGCCAACTTTGGGGGTCTGGATGTGACCCAAGTAAAGTTGCCAACTTCCAGGTAAGGCTTAGAGAGCTCCCAGAATGACAACAGATTTCTAGGCGACAGAGTTGAATTCCCCTGGAGAAAATGGCTGCTTTGGACGGTGGCCTCCTTATACCCTGCGGAAGTCCCTCCCCTCCCCAAACCCTGCATTCCTCAAGCCCCACCCCCAAATTGCCCACTGAGTGAGCAATCTTAGCTGGAGAGTAGCTGCATGTTCACTTCTGCAGTGGGTCGAGTGGCCACATCTGTGGCTTTATGGGGGCAGGAGGATCCCTATTGGCCCGTTGGGTGTCACCTGACAAGTGTGGGATGAGACGCTGCAATACTATTACCCTCCGGCCCACAGCACGGGTGGCGCCTAAGAGCAGCTGAGACCAGGCCTGCAGCGCCCTCTTCTGGCAAGAGACGGTTACTACTCAATCACATGCCCAAGGCCAGGTTCCTTTACGGAACTGCCCATAATCGATCGGGCATGATCCCGTGATTCCTGATAACATGCAGCACCATCGCTCATTCAAAACACAACTTCAAGTTTCCCCCGGCACGCTCACACCCTCACAACTTAATGCTGGCTGATATTGGCATGTTCAAGACCTAGCGGAACCACCTCGTGACCACCACCGTCAAATGTTAGATTCTTCCTCAGCCACAGAGCCCCACTGCGTGACCTTGCGCATCACATGGAATAACCTCCTATGTGCTTTTCCGTGCTTCTTAGCGATTAGATGGGATAGAAAGATAAGATCTGCCTTCCCCAAATGCATTTGCCTGAATACTGAAGACCAGCTTTTAAGATCTGTGCACCAGTGTTCCCTCTAAGTTGAGTTAGTGTGAGCTAGCTCACAGTTTTTTAGCCTCCGGCTCACACATTTTTGTCTTAGCTCAGGAAGGAGGGCTCCAGAGCAAACTCATTTATGCAGTAGCCAAAATGCTTTCTCACAACTTTAATGTCAGTAGCTCACAAAGTAGAATTTTTGCTCACCAGACTCCACAGCTTAAAGGGAACATTGCTGTGCACCATTGTTGACTGGAGTGACGCTGGTGTCACCTGACAAGTGTGGGATGAGACGCTGCAGTACTACCCTCCGGCCCACAGCATGGGTGGCGCCTGAGGGCAGCTGAGACCAGGCCTGCAGCACCCTCTTCTGGCAAGAGAAGGTTACTGCTCAGTCACACGCCCAACGGTCACACGAGGGTCAGGGCTTCCTCTGTGGTGGCCCCTTGCTTGTGGGACCCCCACCCCACGTTGATACATCTGGTGCCTCCTTTGTTAAGGTTTACGTGCCAGGTTAAAAACGTTTTGCTTCTCTCTGCCTGGCTGTGATTCATTTTTACATGTGTGGGCAGGGCTTTTTTTTGTAGAAAAAGCCCAGCAGGAACTCATTAGCATAATAGGCCACACCCAACAGCAGGAACTCATTAGCATATTAGGCCACACCCCATGTTACCAGAAGTGTTGTCGTCCAGCCACACCCACCCTTTGCTTCTTATTATGTTTACTTTGTTGTCAAAACCCTGGGCTTTTTTTTGTAGCAGGAACTCCTTTGCATGGTAGGCCACACATACCCTAATGAAGCCAATCCTAATGAGTTTCTGCTATTAGGTGTGGCCTATTATGCTAATGAGTTCCTGCTGGGCGTGGCCAACTCGGGAGCCAGCCGGAACTCCGTTCCTGTGCGTTCCTGCCCAAAATAGCCCTGTGTGTGGGTCTCGCTTTCCCAGTCATCCAATTTCTTGGGTTTTTATTGCTCGTAAATCAATTTTATGCAGACACGTCCTGCTATTTTTGGCTGCGGCCAGACTGCAGTTCTGATAGCGTAGCTGATGCCGTTCTTCATGTCAGTCGTTGCTCTTGCTGTTATGGATCGCTTTTCTCCCTGTGCACCTTCGTGGGAACCTCGTCGCTCTGACGCAGAACACAAATAACTTGAGTGCGTGAATAACCATGAAAGAAACAGAAACAAATTACGTTTTTATCTGGAAGTGAGGTTCAGCAAAGCCGGGAGGTTAATATTCTTTCCTGCTCAGGCACCCCCAACGTAGTGCCCACATGTTTTTAGAACATGGGCCCACTCCCTGACATTTTGTGGTTAGCTCCACCTCCTGCAGCGACCATTTTGCGATCGGCCCCAGCCCCCACCTCCTGCAGCAGTCATTTTATGGTTGAGTCATTTTATGGTTGAGGGGTGACATGATTGAGGTTTACAAGATTATGCGTGGGATAGAGCAGGTAGAGAAAGAAGCCCTTTTCTCCCTTTCTCACAATACAAGAACTCGTGGGCACTCCATGAAATTGCTGAGCGGTTGGGTTAGAACGGATAAAAGGAAGTCCTTCTTCACCCAAAGAGTGATTAACAATGGGATTCACTGCCACAGGCATGGACGGCTTCAAGAGGGAATTGGATAAACATATGGAGCAGAGGTCTATTATTGGCTATTAGCCACAAGGTGTAGATAGCAACTCTCGGTCTGGGGCAAGGGATGCTCTGTATTCTTGGTGCTTGGGGGGGCAAGAGAGGGAGGGCTTCTAGTGTCCTGGCCCCACTGCTGGACCTCCTGATGGCACCTGGCATTTTTGGCCACTGTGTGACAGAGTGTTGGACTGGATGGGCCACTGGCCTGATCCAACATTGGCTTCTCTTATGTTCTTTAGCTGACCGCCCTGTGTCAGAATTCCAGAGTCACCCGCAGGGCTCGAAAAGGTTGGGGGCCCAACCTCGGCCTTGGCAAAACTCAAATTCCTTCTGAATTTCTTGGAATGCACATGAATCTCCAAGCCTTGCGGTTTCCAAAATGCTGGGTTATTTTGAGGGGGCGGGGAGGGGGCGTGTGCCTAGGCCGTACAACTTTCCAGAGGGCGGGGGAGATGTAGGAGAGGAGGTGGTCTGTAATCTACCAAGAAGACAGTATAATGTACCTTTGGTATGCCATCTTTTCCCCTGCAGCAACCCTTGGTTCAGGTGGCCACCTGGTGCATTGGGGAATATGGAAACCTCCTATTGGCTGGGAGCTGTGAAGAGATAGAACCTAAGCAGGTGAGATGCTGGGGGTTCCGGGTCTGGATAAACTGGAGAATGGGGAGCAGAGCAAGTTTGCTCGTGCCGCCTCCCCCCACCCTAGTCCAGCTGAGAGCGTGGACTCCAGTCTGGGAGAACCTTGTTTGATTCCCCACTCCTCCACTTGCAGCTGCTGGTGTGTCCTTGGGTCAGTCACAAGTTCTCTCAGAGCTGTTCTCTCAGGAGCAGTCCTCGAAAGAGCTCTCTCAGCCCCACCTACCTCACAGGCAGTGTTCCCTCTAAGCTGAGTTAGTGTGAGCCAGCTCACAGTTCTTTAGCCTCCGGCTCACACAATTTTGTCTTAGCTCAGGAAGGATGGCTCCAGATCAAACTAATTTATGCAGTAGCCAAATCGCTTGCTCGCAACTTTAATGCCAGTAGCTCACAAAGTAGAATTTTTGCTCACAAGTCTCCGTAGCTTAGAGGGAGCATTGCTCACAGGGTGTCTGTTGTGGGGAGGGGAAGGGAAAGGGATTGTCAGACGCTCTGAGACTCCTTTGGGTAGTGAAGGGTGGGGTATAAATCCAATCTCCTCTTCTTCTCCTCTTCGGCCCGTGCAGGTAGACCCGGAAGAAATGCTGTCCCTCTTGGAACGTGTGCTCCAGTCGCACCTCTCCCTGCCGGCCACCAGGGGCTACGCGCTCACCGCCCTCATGAAACTTGGGACCCATCTCCAAGGCAACAGCATCAAGTGAGCTCGCCAGGGACAACGTCCCTAAAGCCCGGACCTTCTCTCTGACCTCAGTTTAAGTCTCCTGGGAAAAAACAGCCCGCCTGTAGGCTCTGTGCTCGCAGTGGCCTAAGTGCATTTGGAGAGCTAGTGTGGTGTAGTGCTTAGGACCTGGGACGAGACCTGGGTTTGAATCCCCACTCTGCCGTGGAAACTTGCTGGGTGACCTTGAGCCAGTTCCGCTCTCTCCGTCTAACCGACCTCACAGGGGTGTCGTGAGGATAAAATGGAGGAGAGAATTATTGTAGTCCACCCGGGGTCCCCATTGGGGAGAGGGGTGGGGTATAAACGAAGGAAATCAAATAAAATAAATCTGTGCTAGATCTTGAAAAGGGAGAGGAAATGGAACGGCCTTTAAAATACCCCCCCCCCCAAATCTTGTTGGTCTCCAAGGAGCTACCGGACTCGAATCCAGCTCTTCCGCCTCCTTTTGCACGCCACTCTTCTGCCTAAAACTCAGGTGATTTGTAAACTTTCCACCCTTAAATTCTTTTCTCTCCCCTCCCAAGCCGGATCCGCCGGTTGGTCTCCATCTACTGCAGCTGCCATGACATCGAATTGCAGCAACGGGCGGTGGAATATAATGCCCTTTTCCGGAAATACGACCACCTGAGGTGAGTTCCGCAGGTGGGTACGGGATGGGGGTTCGTCTAAGGAATCTTCATGCCCATTGGATGACAGTGGGGGAGACCCAGGATCCCCAGGGAACCCGACTCTGGCTGTGGTCCCATACACACTAAATAATCCACTTTCAACTGGATTTTTACTGTGGCTGATTTTGCACTAGAGCTGCCTCGACGTTGCGCTGCTGTTTGCACCAATACTGTTGGTCAATTTCACACCCGAAGCTGCGGGGCTGCATTTTGACTCGCGGCTTCGCCCAATTCCCCCCGCAGTTTCGTAATCCTGTTTTTTGAGGATCACGAAACTGCGGAGGAAATCGGGCGAAGCCGCGGGTGAACTGTGTGAACTGGGAAAATCCAGTTGGAAAGTGCATTCATTGAAAGTGGATTATTCAGTGCGTGTGACCGCAACCTCTGAGAACAAGTACCATGTCCAAGTTGTGTCTGGATGCTGTGGGTCAGCGTAGACTAGATGCAGAGTTCAGCTTCCATTAAGAAACAGCCACCGAGGGGAGGGGCCCTGGCTCGGTAGTGGAGCATTGGCTCGGCACGCAGAAAGTCCCCTTTTCTCATTCTAGCTGCCCTTTTCTGCACTTTCCCCAGTGCTATTATATCCTTTTTGAGGTGTGGTGACCAGAACTGGACACAGTGCTCCAAATGAGGTCGACTTCCCCTGACTCTTTTAGGGCGTCCGTGTTGGAGAAGATGCCCCTCGTGGACAAAGCCGGCTACAGCGACGAGGGAGGTGAACGAGACCGGGCGGGAAGAGAGATCAGCCTCTCCGCCAACATCCCAGGGGTGGAGCCGCCTGGCAGTTCCAAACTGCCGGAGTCCAGCCAGGTGAGGGCAGCACCTCCAAATGGTTGAGTGGCTGGAATCAGCATTGACTCCCGTTAGCATCTTCTGCGCTCCCCTAAGGAGGCCCAGGGTTTCACGATCCTTGCCTGAGATGTCATCAGTCGACAGAGTAAGTTTTGTAGGGAGGCCAGCCCGTAGCCATCTCCTCCTCATAAATCAGAACCCGCCTCCTCCTCTATACCATTTTCTTTTTTTAAACAATTTTTATTAGGATATAATAATAAGTAAGATCAAACATCGTATAACAAACTATCCCATATCCTTTTGTCCCAATATTCCCCCCCCCTCTGACTTTCCACAGTGCTCAAACTTCTAATACATTCTCATTCTTTTTCTCCTTTTCCAATTCTTTAATAATATATAGTTCTCTCAGGCAACGTATCTTTTTATTGTACCATTTTCTGACCTGCATCCGCTCCGGCGGTACCGAACCAGTCCCCGGACTGGGAAACAGAGCAGAGCAGATCCAGCCATCCTTGTAGATGAGTCAAAACGGTATCTGGGTCTGCCGCCGGGGGGGGGGGGCACGACGTCTTTTTATTTGTATTTATTTATTTATTTATTGTATTTGTAACCCGCCCTCCCTGCAAGCGGGCGCAGGGCGGCTCACATGGCCTGGCACAGTGTGCCAAGATTCATACACAGTGAAAACATTTGAAACTTAACATTTAACACTGTTAAAACATTTAAACAATCGACGATTGCCGAATAAAGTGCACTCAGTGGATTAGTAACCAAGATGGTGTAGCATGTCATGCAGGCTCAGACCATTACAGGCTCCTAGGCGGTTTGGCTCGATCTCACTGCCACCAGCCTCCCCCACAGATATTAATAGTGGTCGTTGATGGTAATGTGGGCGGCTCCTAATTGAAGGCCTGGTGGAAGAGCTCCGTCTTGCAGGCTCTGCGGAACGGCACAAGTTCCTGCAGGGCCCTGATCTCCTCCGGGAGCTCATTCCACCAGCAAGGAGCCACCACTGAGACGGCCCTGGCTCTAGTAGCAGCGAGCCTGGCCTCCCTGGGGCCTGGAATAACCAGCTGATGTTGCACCCCCGACCATAGTGCTCTCTGGGGTATATACGGGGAAAGGCGGTCCCTCAGGTATGTTGGACCCTAGCCATATAGGGCTTTAAAGGTAAGTACCAGCACCTCCTCGCTCCATTTTGTCTCCGGAACCTGCCGTCATCAGCTCTCTGCTCTGCTCTCTAGAGAGGGAATCTCAGCTCGTCACCAGTGTTCCCTCTAAGCTGAGTCCGTGTGAACTAGCTCACAGATTTTTAGCCTCCGGCTCACACATTTTTGTCTTCGCTCAGGGAAGGAGGGCTCCAGAGCAAACTAAGTTATGCAGCAGCCAAATCGCTGGCTCACCACTTTAATGCCCGTAGCTCACAAGGTAGAATTTTTGCTCATAAGACTCCATAGCTTCGAGGGCGCATTGCTGTCTCTTTTCCTCCAGGTCTCGGATCTCTTGTGTCTCCTTGGGGAGCCTGCTGAGCCTTCTCCTTTGCAGCCTATTACGGACACCTCAGCGGCAACAGGATCTGTCCTGGACTTGCTCAGGGATCTGAAGCCCCCAGGTAGGGTGACGCAGGAGAATGGGGTCAACGGGTAAAGCAAATGCCCAAGTCACCTTTCCCTTCAGTGCTTCCAGACACCACACACCCACTGTGTTGCTTGCATTCCTCCCAAGCATATCGTAAAGGGTCCCCTCCTCTCTCTGCATCCCCTCCACGAAGACTGTCAGGGCCTGCATTTCCCAGGTCACCCCTCTGGACCCTGTGATTGGCTAACAGCTGATGGCGGTAGCATCCCATAGGGTCGAATTACGCTGGCTGTTGTTATTCAGATTAACAAAGAGGGCCTTAACAATTCAGATGTTAACTGTTCAGATGTTATCAGTGTGTAGTCAGTGGTCAGTGGTGGCTCCTAGTCGAAGGTCTGGTGGAAGAGCTCCGTCTTCCGGGAGCTCATTCCTCCAGTATGGAGCCGCCACTGAGAAGGCCCTGGCCCTGGTAGAGGTCAATCTGGCGTCTCTCGGACCAGGGAGAGTCAGACAGTTTTGAGACCCTGACCTCAGTGCTCTCTGGGGGACATGTGGGGAAAGGCGGTCCCTCAGGTAGGCAGGCCCCCGACCATATAGGGCTTTAAAGGTGTGCTAGGATTTCTCATTTGGCTGGTTGACTGTGCTCGTGTTTCCTACAAGTTATTGAATTACGGTTGCTGTTAAATCTCTTTTAATAAAAACAGTTTGTCACTCTGCCTGGGTCCTCATGCCTCATTCGGTCACTTACAAGGGGGAACCTACTGGAAAAGGAGCGTATAAAGGGGTAGGGTGCTTGTTGGAATCCAGGTCTTAGGAGGAAAGCCTGAAAGAGTTGGGTCTGTTTAGCCTGCCTGGGAAAGAGAAGGCTTAGAGGGGACAGGATTGCAGTCTTCAAATACCTGAAGGGCTGTAATGTCGAAGATGAAGCAGGTCTCTTCTCTCTTGCTCTGGATTGCAAGACTAGATCTAATGGGTGGAAATGACAAGGGAGTCGATACCGGCTAAATATCAGGAGAAACTTCCTAACTGTCAGAGTGGTTGGGCAGTGGAACAGACTGCCTCGGGAGGTGGTGGGTGCTCCCTCGCTGGACGTTTTCAAGCGGACGCTGGGCGACCATACTAGATGACCTGGGAGGTCCCGTCCGACTCTAACATTCTGTGATTCTCGGGTGGGTGCTCTGGGCCCTCCGGCGGAGACCCATACCAGAGTGGTGGCAGCCATTAAGAGACACCTGGTTACCCAGAATTCCGCTTCTCCCCAGTGAGGAGAACCGATGTGGAAGTTGGTTTCCCCGAGGGTTTGGGGTGGTTACTCAGCAATGAGAACCGGCCCTCTGCACATGCTCAGATGCAGTCTGTAACCATGTTACCTTTCCAGGGCCGAGTCTTGGCATGGAAGACACGGCTCCGAGTGGAGCTCAAAAGGTCTAAACTGGGATTCACGTAGGATAAGCTACGTCCCCTGTCGATTGGTTATTGTGGTGGGATTGAAAGGCAGGGGCGAAATCTACGACGTGGCACAAAGGACTGACCTGTCCACCGGCTTCCCTCTCCCACCAGCCCCTGCTCTCTCCCGCCTGGTTGTCTACGACCGAGATGACCTGCTGGTCGAATTCTCAATGGAGCGCCCCCCTCTGGAAACGTCGTTACTGCTGATCACGGCCACCGTGTCCAACAGGGCCCCCGGTGACGTGACCGCGTTTTCTCTGCAAGTGGCCGTCCCCAAGGTGAGGTGGCACCCAAAGGACTGCCTGGAATGCATTAGTGTGCTTTCACCATGACTCTGAATGTATAAGGCAATGCGGACAAGCTCGAACCTGCTCATCTTCTCCCCTTCCCAACAGTCCTTTCAGGTGGAGCTCCTGGCCCCCAGCGGGTCCACAGTCCAGGGCCAGGGCAGACCCCCTGTCACTCAGCTGATTCGCGTCTTGAACCCCAGGAAGGTAAGAAGGACGGACGGGGGCCCTGCCCCTGGAGACCAGAGCAGTGTTCCCTCTAAGCTGAGTCAGTGTGAGCTAGCTCGCAGTTTTTTAGCCTCCGGCTCACACATTTTCATCTTAGCTCAGGAAGGGCTCCAGGGTAACAGGAGGTGGTGGCGGCTACAAGCATGGACAGCTTTGAGAGGGAATTAGATAAACATCTGGATCAGAGGTCCATCAGTGGCTATTGGCCACAAGGGGCAGGGGAAACACTCTGTCTGGGGCAAGGGATGCTCTGTCTTCTTGGTAATTGGGGGGGGGCAACAGTGAGAGGGCTTCTAGTGTCCTGGCCCCATTGGTGGACCTCCTGATGGCCCCTGGTATTTTTGGCAACTGTGTGACAGTGTTGGACTGGATGGGCCATTGGCCTGATCCAACATTGGCTTCTCTTAGGTTCTTAGTCTGGGGCAAGGGATACTCTGTATGCTTGGTGCTTTGGGCGGGGGCAACAGTGGGAGGGCTTCCAGTGTCCTGGCCCCACTGGTGGACCTCCTGAGGGCCCCTGGTATTTTTGGCCACCATGTGACAGAGTGTTGGACTGGATGGGCCTTTGGCCTGATCCAACATTGGCTTCTCTTATGTTGTTAATTGATGCAGTAGCCAAATGGCTCGCTCACAGCTTTAACGCCAGCAGCTCACAAAGTAGAATTTTTGCTCACAAGGCTCCACGACTTAGAGGGGACATTGGATGGGAGTGGCCTGCGAAGATCCGGCCCTCAAAGGCAGTTACTGTCAGCGGCAAAGCAGTGACGTTACCGCCGTCTCTGTGATGTGACAACAGAGGCTTCCTATTGGCCACTTTACTGGTGACATCACAGGAACATATTTGACATTTTGCTCTGCTGTGATTCCACTTCCTGTTCGATCAGGGGTCGTCTCTGCCCTGCTAGCATCACAAGCACCCTAAGCGATGTCGCTTCCCGTTTCCCTGCAGCCGCCGCCGTTCGTTCAGTGCGGTTTCTCCGAAAACAGAGACCTCCCTATTGGTGGCATGACTTCAGCATCTTGCTCAGTGCTGCTGATAAAAGCGTTCCTCCTTTTCCCCTACCGACCTTGACAACTGGGGACTCTGGAAAGAGAACTGGGATCTCCCCAGTCCTGAACTCCGCATCCGAGACCGATGCAAAGTTTGCAGTGTTCCAGGATGCCCCGTTCCCATGTGCAGAATTCCGATCGGGTCAGGAATGGCTAACGTTGCATCTCTCCCTTTCCGATTCCCAGCTCCCGCTCCGGATGCGGCTGCGTCTTGCCTACGCCCTGCCCTCTGGGACGGCGGTCCAACAGATTGAGGAAATCAGCTCGTTCCCGGAGGCCGCGTGGCAGTGACCCCCCCGAGCAACCTGGGACATCCACCGCCACTGTATGTTGTTGTTGTTCAGTCGCACAGTCGAGTCTGACTCTTCGCAACCCCATGGACCAGATCACGCCAGGCCTTCCGGTCTTCCACTGTCCTCTGAAGTTGGCTCAACTTCATGTTCGTTGCATCTATGACACTGTCTAACCATCTCATCCTTTGCCGTCCCCGTCTTCTTTGACCTTCAGTCCTTCCCAGCATCAGGGTCTTCTTCTCCAGTGAGTGCTCCCTTCTCATTGGGTGGCCAAAGTATTTGAGCTTCAGTTTCATTATCTGGCCTTCCAGGGAACAGTCAGGGTGGATTTCTTTTAGGATTGACTGATTTGATCTCCTTGCAGTCCAAGGGACTCTCAAGAGTCTTCTCCAGCACCATAGTTCAAAAGAATCTATTCTTCGGCGCTCGGCCTTCCTTATAGTCCAACTCTGGCAGCCACTGTATGTTATCCGGCAAAGCTCTGGCCTGGTTCTCCCCCCCCCCCTCAAAACAAAGCCCTTGCAATTGCAATGGCTGACCACCAGGTGGCATCTTGGCTCCACCTGGAGACCTCAGGAGGACTCTATTAAGCACATAAGTTAGGGGGTGCCCGTGGCTGCTGACAGGGAGGTGGGGGGGTGACCCTAGATCACTGCACTGGAGGCAGGCGGGGGGGGGGCGTAAAGATCTTGCGGAAGAGAGCCTCAAAACTAAAAGGGGAAACCGAGTCAAGTCAGGACAGAGTAAGGGGGGGGGGGGGGGAAAGGGGAATCCCCTCACCGCCTCTCAGCGGCTGGGAAATCAATTCGATTGATCAGCCAGACGGGGAGATTCCACAACAACTGAGCGGGACTAAGTGGAAATCGATGAAGATAAAGAGCAGGGTGGGAGGGGAAAAAATCAAAATCCTCCAGTAAAATAAACACACCGCCTGTTCTTCTCCATGGCCCAAATCCACGTTTCTGCTCTCCTGCTTATGCGGAAATGGAGAAGTCCGACCTTGTCCTGCAGGAAGCAGAGGCCGTGGCTGCGTCTCCCAATGGTCAATCCCCTCCTCAGCTGAGTCGGACCAAGGGGACGCCCCATTCAGTATTCTGTCTACCAACAGTGGCCAACCTGGGGTTACAGGGAAGGATGTTCGAAGCATGATATGGTGTTGTGGTTAAATGCACGGATTCTGATCAGAGAGAATTTGGTTTGAATTCCCACTCCTCCACATGCAGCTGCTGGGGTGACCTTGGGTCAATCACAAGTTCTCTCAGAGCCGTTCTCTCAAGGGCAGTCCTCGGGAGAGCTCTCTCTCCCCCACCGACCTTCTTCTAGTCATGCCGTTCCCTAGCTGATTGTCCTCAACGTCTGGTCACTGGGACTGCAAACTGTGAAGCCGCACCTCTGGCTATCTCAGCTTGCAGCCACCAACAGGTGACTCCTATCACAGCCTCCATGTATTCCTCTAGTCCACGAATCCCCAACAAACGTGGTGCCCGTGGGTGCCACGGTACCCACCCACACCTCTTCCTCCTTAGAAAGGAAGTAGGGCAGGAAAAGGTGGGACCTTTGCCCAGCAAGTCTTTTGATTGGCCAGTGGAGATTTGATTGGCTGCACCGATTTGCGCCCGCCACACTCTGTCAGAGTTCTACAGAGGCCCCCCCCCCCCCCCCCCCCCCCCCCCAGAGGGCGCCTGCTGTTGTCTCTTTTCAAGCCCACTGAGGCCAGTGGCCACTGTTACAAGATACTGTGGCCATGAGTTCCATGGGTTTACAATGTGTTTGTGTGAAGAAACAGTACCATCACTTTCATTTTGGTGTTTTTCTCCCAGCATCTTAAATGTGCTTCCTGTCACTGTGATGGAATGACTTTGAGTTTTAAGTGTGAATAAAGTTTTCCTGTATTCTTTTTCTCTGGAACACTCTTTTGATCTAAATTGGCTGTCGCCTGGCTTGCTTTCCCCCTAAACCTCCAGCCATTGGCTGGACTGCTGTGATGTCACCCCAAGGCCAGCCAAACGGGACAAGTCTGGGTCATCTCTATTTTATTGGCATGAACTCATCTTTCCTTTCTTCTGAGGACAACGCTAGAAAAGAATCGTCTGTGACAGAGAGGCGGGGGGGGGGGGGTCTCCTGTCGAAGAATGGGGCCACCCCCCACCCCGGCTCTGTGCTCAGTCTTTCTCCCCTTGTGTGGCTCCTGCGTCCCCCACTTTCCGCAACCTCCCGGCTCGTACAAGGCTCTCGTAGTGCGCAGGCCTGAATTTGTGCAGGTAAGCGGACATCTTTCCCGGAATACAGGTTTTCTCATCAAAGCCTGCTGGGAGAGAGAGAAAAGAAAATGAATTTTGAACCCTGCAAATCCTGAATCTGATAGGGGGAAGGAATTTTCAACATTTTCGGATTTCTAAAATTTCAAAGGAACTTTGTTCACGATCGGCCTTAAAACCTCAAGAAGTCATCCGGGCCCCGGTGAATCGCCACGGTGCGGGGAAACCCGGCCACGGCTAATGAAGAGAAGACTGGCACGCCCACGGAGACCCTCTGGTGCACCTCACCCAGCTGCCTGCCCAGCTCCTGTATCCTCTCTAGAGCCTCCGGCACATCCTCCTGCTGCCTGACCACGGCCTCCACCTCCCCCACGGCATAGCCAAAATCTGCCTCGTCGAGGTCCACACTCAGGTCTCCCACACGGTATCTGCGCCGACGGGTCACGAAGCTGGCAAACTCCTCTAGGCCGAGTTCCTCCAGTGCTCTGGCCACGTCGTCACACCAGCTCACCGCCACGTCCACGCCCAAGAGACCACAGACCCGGGCCACGATATCCCGGGGGCATGTCACTTCCTGGTATTGTGTGGCAGGGTCTGGCCTGCCAGCTCCCTCTAGTGGCTGCAAAGGGCAGGGTCCGGCAGGTACCTGCGTGAGGCCCCGTGGGTCCCAACTTTCTGCGGCCGGGCTCGAAATGCCAGCACCCTCCAGTGGCCTTGGGGGACATTTCAGCTCCCAGCCAATCCCCTCACGCTCCCGGAGCCAGTGGTCAGCCAGGACAAGGCGGCAGTCGGGAGTGTCGAAGTACTGGTCCCGGAAGGAGACGTTTCCGGCCAGGGTTGCCCCGAGGGCCACCAACTTCTCCTCGGTGCCAGGCTCAAAGAAGAATTTCTGCTCTACCTCGATGGATCCCGAGGCCGGGCTTCCAGCATCTGCAGAGGAGAGAAGGAGCAATCAAAGGCGCCGAAACTCAAACAGCGTTTGGACTTTGGCCCGATTATCGGTCTCCGCACCGCTCCTAATCTTTTTTTTCTTCTTAATTCCCCATGAAAACGCAAGAGAAATTCCAGAGCCAAGCCTCTACCCTGAAGCTGCTGTCTACAACCCGGATGGATTCCTTCTCCCCCGGCCGCAGAGAACGCCTGTCCTAGGTATTACTTAACCAGCTCAGAATCATATTGCGGGGCAGAGGCTCATCGCTGCAAAAACCGCTCCACTGCGGCGGCCCACGGGAGTGCCGGATCCGAGAAAGTGCTCCTTTCGTCCGCTCTCCATATCGGGACGGAGCACAACGCCCTGCTTCTCTCCCTCTGTATACACCCTGTGCTTCCAGAAGGCCCCCCGGTTCAATCCCTGGCACCCGCCCCGGTTAAAGGGTCCCTGGTGCAGTAAGGTCGCCCAGAGACAGGTAGAAGGTCTCGCTCGGGACGAGGCCGACCCTTTCCCACTCCGGCACCCATGCCTCTGTCCCCTGCAGCCATGTCTGCCAGTCTCTTCCTTGAAGGGGCCTGCGGGAGGGGGAAAGCCGCTGCAGCAGAAGCACTGCCCCCTCTCCAGAGCCACCCCACGCAGCCCCCTGGGGTTGCCGCTCAGCCCTGAGCAAACAGGAAGGGGAGAGGCAACTGCCTGGGTGGGTCTCAGGTAGGGACCTGGGGATCCCCTGGAATCCCAGCTTATCTCCAGAAGACGGAGCTCAGTTCTCCTGGAGAAAAGGGATGCTTTGGAGGGTGGACTCTGTGGCATTGGACCCCTGCCCAACCAGGTTCCATCCCCAAATCTCCAGGAGTTTCCCAACTAGGATCTGGCAACCCTGGTCTTGGGGGCCCGCAGACCGCCCTAACCCCTCCCTCCCAGCCCCCCCCCATTTCCCCAGTTTTTGCTTGATTTAATTTCCCCCCCTTCTAAACAGCCCCCCCATTTCCCATACTGGTAAAGATGCCAGCTCCAGGGAGGGAGATTCCTGGAGATTTGGGGGTGAAAGGGTCCGGGGGCCTCGGCGGGGTGGAATGCCACAGAGTCCCGCCCCCCCCTCCGAAGCAGCCTTTTTCCTCCAGGGGAACGGATCCCTGTCACCCGTTGTGATTCCGGGAGATCACCCGGCCCTGCCTGGAGGTTGGCAACCAGACCTGCCGGCCGCTCCCTTCTTTTCCCCCCCGCAGCGTAGCACCCCCCGCGACGGCAGCAAGGCACTGCCTGGTGCGTGCGCGCGCGTGGGAGGGACCGCTCGGCACTAACCTTTCCCTCTCCCTGCGTGGGAGCCGCAAGCTGCAGCCGCAACACTGCAAGCGAAACCCGCCGCCGCCATATTGATGCCGGAAAAGAGCGAGCGAGCCGGCTTGGGACGACAGGAACTACGTCTCCCAGAGCCCTTTGCGACTGGGGCGAGAGGGAAGGGGAACGGCGATGTCCAATCTTCTTAATATATATATATATGCAAATAAGCAGGTTGTTGTCTCTGGGTTTTTTTTCCCCCCTTTGATCCCTGAGGTTTTGTGGGGGGGGGAGGAGAATTCCAATAGCGCGCAAAGGCGCCTGGGAGTTGCAGTCCCCGGCTCCTCCTCCTCCCTCTCCCCTCCCTCCTTCCAGCAGGTGCATCTGCTAGTCGTCATCCTTTGATCCCCTCCTCTCCGCGTTCTATTTTTTATTCCTCTCCCCCTGCGACTGTCTCGCTCCCTCGATCACGGTTGCCAGGGCAACCGGAAAGCTGCAATTAAGAGCAGCAGGGGGAGGGAGAG